CGTCAGGTTTTGTATAAAAATCCATAAATTCTTTATTAAAATCGTGGCCTGAAAAACAGACCACGATTTTTACTATAATATTATAAGTGACTGGTTTCAAACCAGCCACCTCAAATTCATTTACAATAGTACTAATTTTTATATTTATTTTAAATATCTTTAGGGTGTATTTCCATACACCCTGAAATACCATAGTGTATACAATTACATTGATATTAAAATAAATAAATAAAAATTTTTTCTTTATAAATAAAAATAAAAATAAATATAAGACAATGAATCGTAACAGCAAAATTATTAGTCTTTATGAAAAGATGATATATAATAATAACTCATTATTACAATCTTTAAAATTAGGGGAAGTTTATTTATATACAAAATGTCAAGATTTTAAGAAAACTGATGAATTTAGTAAAAATCAAAAGTGGTGTAAGACTTGTATGAAAACCAAAGTTAATAATGATTAAAATATGCGAATGTGGAAAAAAAATTCATTTGAGATATTGTACATTTAACATCAAACTATCATAAAAAAAGAACGGAAAACATGAAGAAAGAGAACATTTAATATAAAATTATAAAAATAATTTTGTTATTAAAAAATAAATTCCATAAATAATATAAAATAAAATAAAAAATAAATAAAATAAATTGTATACAATAAATTAATAAAAATGCCTCTACAGAATCAAATTATATTATAAAAAATGAAAGTACCTGAACTTAAGTTAATAGCAAAGCAATATGATATAAAAAATGTTTGTAAAATGAAAAAAGATTGTTTAATAGAAAATATAAAAAAGCAAGCTGCATTGAAAATGTTAGATAAAAATCCCTTCTTTAAGTTAGATAAATCATTGTTTACTAAAGAAAATTATTTTAATACTTCATTAGAAAGAAGACCAAAAGTTTATGATTTGATAGACGTAATTCAATTGAATCCACAAGTCCAAAATAAATTTAGGATACATAAAGCTGATTATAAAATTAGTTTTAAACAAGCATTATTACAAGATCTAAAACAATGTAATTCAGAATACAGAATTAATTATATAGATAAAGCTTTAAATGAAATGGTAAAACTTGCTAAAAGCAATTCAGCATATAAAAAAGATGATAGAATAAGTATTGCATTATTTAATCCAAATATAAAAACTCCCATATATACTGGAATGAGATCTGACGATATCATAGTAAACTTAAAATCTATAGTTGATGGCTTATTAACTTCAAATGAAGAAATTGATATTACAGAAACTACTTTTCAAGTTCAAATAGTAAACATACCCAGAGGTTCAAATAGAAATAAAATAATAAATTTATCAGAAGATATCCATACTAAAAGAAGTATTATTAAGATTAATAATGATGATAATTTATGTTGTCCGAGAGCTATTGTTGTTGCATTATCTACTCAAGCAAATAATATTTTAGGCCATGAATTAAATTCCAATAATATTACATACTTGAGAAAAGGCAGAAAAATTCAAAAAGATTTAGCTTTAGAGTTATGTAATATGTTACCAGAATATAACGAAGAAGGATTTACATTGGATGATATTCAAAATGTGGAAAAAATACTAGATATACAAATAAATATTATTTGTGCTGAAAGTTTAAATGCTTTAATTTATAAAGGTGATGATAAAGAAACTAAAATTTATTTATATAAAAATGGTAATCATTTTGATGTTATTACATCAATGGCAGGTTTTTATGGTTCTTTTTATTATTGTGAAAAGTGTAATAAAACATATAAAAATAAAAATGAACATAAATGTGTTAAAGATAAAAATGTATGTAAATACTAAATTGTGTCAGAGACCTGAACATTCAAGTAGTACAAAAAATAAAATATATTGCCAAAAATGTAACAGATATTGTTATAATCAAGAATGTTTAGATGATCATTTTTTTGTATGTATGTATGTACGTAAATGTATTGATTGTAATAAAATATGTAAAAGATTTACTAAACTGGATGATATACATAAATGTGGATATACAGAATGTATAAATTACCATGAAGAAGTGAAAATAAACGAACATCAATGTTATATGCAACGTAGAATAGGAAAAGGAGGTAAATGTTTTGTAGGATGTACAAAATGTGGTGGTACAAATGACCCATATAAATTTTGTTCTTATACAGAAAAATATATGTTTTTTGATTATGAAGCTCAACAAGAAACAGGAACACATATTGCAAATAAATTTAATTCCTTCAAAATTATGTTTGATACAAATGAAGAATTTTGTAAACATATAATATCCAAGGATTATAAGGGATATACATTTATAGCACATTATGCAAAAGGATATGATTCACAATTTATCTTAAAATACTTGGTTGATAATACTATAAAGCCATTTACAATTTATAATGGTACAAAACTAATGTTATTAGAAATTAAAAATTTAAGTATAAGAATAATAGATAGTTCTAATTTTATTCAAGGCCCTCTCAGTAGTTTTCCCAAAACGTTTGGCCTCAAAGAACTGAAAAAAGGTTACTTTCCGCATTTCTTTAATACAGTAGAAAATCAAAAATATATTGGTATGTTACCTGATAAAAATATTATGGATTCGAAACAATGAAGCCAGAGAATAAACTAGAATTTGAAAAATGGTATAATGATAAAATTAATGAAAATTATATATTTAATTTAAAAGAAGAATTATAGGCTGTACTATATTATATTACTGTACTTCAGATGTGGATATCGAACGAAGAGGTTGTTTAGAACTTAGAAAACAATTTCCTGAAAAAATATTAAAATATTTAATCCAAAAGTATATGATAAAAATTGGGTGAGCGTCAGATAGGTACTTTGTAAAATAAATTCTATATTTGACGCGTGCGTAAATATCGCACACGTCATTTAATTATATTGTGTTCTTAAATAGGCATACCTTTTTCCATTAAATTATCAATACGCTCATAGCAGAATAAATTATCTGGCCTATCTAACATGTTTAATAAAGATATTAAAATATAAGTACTTTTGGGCGTATTTATTATATTTTTATATTTTTTAATTAACAAATTAAGAATTTTTTTCTTTTGCTTAACTATATTATCAATATTTTCAATACCTTTATTATTAATAATAATTCTTTCTTTTTTAGAAAAAGATTCCAATTGTTTATAAAGTTTACCCATTATTTAAATATAAATTTATATATTGATATTATTATTATATATTTATTATATTTAGATGTATAAAATCTAAAAAATTAAAATCTTATTTATCAAAAAACTTAAAATTACATTATACCTAAGTCGTAATTTGGGATATATTTATGTATTTTATTTGATATTTCAATCGAAAATATATGTATTTAAGTTTATATTATGAAGTGTGATGTAAACTTGATAATACATGAATACTAACACCTTGGACAGCACAACATTTGTACCTACATTAAGTTTATTGGTAAGTTTTCTTAAAATGTATATGTAGGAAAATCGTTATGATTAATACATTAATTTGTACATACATTATTATGACGTCTTAACAGTTTTTATTTAAATTTTATTTTCAGTTAAATCAGTTTTGTTCATTCAGTTACACCACCGGTAAATGTTATTCAAAGTTTGATAACACAAAATTTGTTATACTCCTAAAATTATTGGCCGACACCAATACACCATAGCACAAACCTAATACAACTTCATAATATGAAAATATAATAATATATATTATATTATTATTCATTTACTTATTACCATCTACTTGGACACAACAAGATGGTTGCCTATCTACATCATATACATACTTAAAAATATAATGTTCTCTGTTCAGAAGTACTTATAAGTTGCATATATTCAAATTTTACATTCTGGCATAGTAATTATTGTTAAGAACTAAGTTGATCTGTATTTACTACAAATGTCAAATATACTTGGCCAAATGATTTGGAGATAGATATTGAAATCACATAATTTTCTATCTTCCATTACATTTTCCAAACGAGAACAATGACAAATGAAAATTTTGTTTCCCATTTAGGTACTATTTTAATAGTTGGGAGAGACTACAAAATTAATTAAGTATGTAAACATATTATTTTACCGTTAAATAATTTGGTTATATTTATCCTTTTTTAATTTATTAGATAGTAAATACTCAACTACTCAAGTTAATTTCAAAGAAGATTAAAAATCAAGTCTGACAATCTGCATTCCAGAAAAAACTTAATCCCAATAATATAGTAAACTAAAAATATGTTAAATGAAAATAGTGCATGCTAATGTTTTTTTTTTTTTTTTTTTTTTTTTTTTTTTTTAAATTTTAACAAATATTATACAATTAAGTTAATTTAGCTAACAACATCAATCAATCATTGATACTTAAATGGGTGGTAAAATGTATGTTTCTAGAAAATTAAAAAAGAATTATAAATTACTCACCTTCATTATTATACACAGTGGTGTATTGCTAAAAATATTCGTGGGTATACGCCTTCTAGATCTTAGGTATCAATGACATAACTATAACATTAAATCAAAAAAAAAAATTTTCTGGCTTCACTCGAATACGATAATGACCAAATTATCTAATTATCAGATTACAATTAATATACAAGTATCTTTCAACTACTAACTGAATGAAAAACAAAATCAAATTAAATCACGAAATTACTTTTTATTTTAAATATATTGCTTTTAAAACCAAAATAGTCAAAATATGCACTAAATAGGTTAAGTAGGTATTTCAATTTTCATCCCGAATTTTGTGAATTGTATTTTGTTACTCCCATGTCACAAAATTAACCATAAAAACTACAAAGTATGTAAATGCATGCAATTCCTTGCCCTAAACATAACATTTCAGAGTATCTAATTATTATCAATTAGTAAAATACTGAAATATAAAACATTTAACTAAAACCAAACAATTACAAATTGATAAAAGTTTTCTTTATTAATAACAAATTAATTCATATAAATTTAATAATAATACATAGGTATTTTAATAATTATTATTATAACCAATCTATAATATTTTCCATATGCTTTTTTTTTCCTCTCTTGTTTCTGGTTCCTGGTTGACGTTTTTTTTTTGTTCTGGTATCTTCAGCAGTCTTATGGTTTACCAACCAACAACTGACATAATTTTTTGGTTCCCATTCATCTAGTGGAGGACCATTTACATTTATAAACATAAGATTGGCTAAATGTTTAATAGTTAACGTAGAACGTAACTTAGTGCATATATTGTTCATTAGACTGAACCCCCGTTCGCACTCTGCTGTTGAACAAGGAAATGTTTGTACCAAGTTATAAAATTCAGGCATAACATTTTTAAATGAAACTGTTTGATCATCTATTATTTGTCTGAATCCATTGATAGCATCATTCTTATTGACTTGAAAAAGAGTTTACATAATCGTTTGATTTCATCTTCACCATAACGTATAATATGTTATAATATAATATGTTATAATAACGTATATATGAAATGAAAATTACAAATATACAGAACATTTTGTTTTTATCAGCGAAAATTCTAATAGGTATACGGGGGTATACGTCCGTATACCCGCGTATCGCCGTTTATTTAGAGAGTATACGCTAAAAAAAAAACTAGAGAAGTGAGTATACGCCGTATACTCAGTGGTGTATTGGGGGGTATACGGCGTATACCGGTTCTCCGGACGGCCGGCCGACGGTTCCAGGCGCGCGTGTCGCGCGCCGGCGTCGTCCGTCGTCGATTGGCGGTTTGATTGAGAAGCCACGGCGCGGCTTCCGCGCAAAGGCTGTTTGAATTCAAACAGATTTTGCGCGGGACCGCGTCATACTCCCCCCCCAAACCGCCAACGGCGTTGGTATTCCGGCCGTTACCGGTGGTGTGCCTTGTCATGAGTGGTGGGTGGTTGTGATAGACGCCTGTCCGAGGGCACGTTTTCCGGCTGTGTTCAGCGGACGTGGCCCTGGCGGTGTCTAGTCGCGTTTGGGGGATGTGGGGGGGCTGTAGTAAAGTTGACTGACGTCCATGTCCTCGTGGTCAGCCAGGTGTGTGCCCGTACCTCCTAACAGCTGTGCCTCCTCCTCCGGGGATATTTCCATATCCTCGGGTTGAGGAGTGGCAGCCCCTAGTTGATCCGTAGTTCCGGTCGCTCCGGAAGTGTGTGACCTAGATGTCGATGTATTCAAGATCAATAAAAAAAAAAAAAAAAAAAAAAAAAAAAAAAAAAAAGAAGCATTGTCCGTACCAATCCCACACAAATTTTTAATATCTAAACCTTTACAATGTAATATCGTTTTTACAGCATTAACCAAGGCTTCTGCATCGCAAGACTCCATTTCTACTAATGATAAATACGTTGAAGTCACCTGTCTCATATCTGTATCAAAATACATAATTGTTATTCCCAAGAACTTATGCACACTCATATCAGTTGACTCGTCAATTAAAATACTAAATGGTCCATTGTTGATTTTATTTTTTAATTCATTTTTAAAATGGGGAGCTAATACATTGCAAATTATACCAGTGCATTTAGTTCTGTGTAATTTCATCGAATCAGCGGTCTCAGATGATTTAACACAATTTTTACATAATTCTCCTAAATGATCACATGATAAAACTGAGCTATGTGCTGATATGAATAAGCATATTGCACTTTCTGCCTGAGCCGTCTTGGTGGTAATTGGTTTAATGAATGTCGTTAATGCCCTCGATGCGGAAAAGTTTTTTGTAGTTTCCAAATGCTTTTTAGTTTTTAAATGCTGATTTAAATCATACTTTTTTGTTCGAATATCACACTAACCAAATCTACACCTTACCTTAGTATTGTCATTATCCAGTTCAACTATCCATTCTTTAAAATTTTTATCTTTCATCCATTCTTCACGGAACTTTTGTGCATACTGTGGTGCCATAATTTCAAATATTTTATAACAAAAATATATTAAGACGGTGAGTCGGTATTCAGTAGATGCGAAAACAAATTTAAAATTTAAAAAGATAAATCACTATGTATGCACCAAGATGTAAGTCTGAACAGTTGTTACTTGTTAATACTAAACTATAGACAATAAAATTACTGTTTACTACTATTTTAATATTGTGAATTGTGATTTATGTTTATAATAATTATTGTCAACAAGAGTCAAGAGTATAATATTATAGACTTATAGTATTATTATACGGCAATAATGTTCAGTTCAATACAAATATACAATACGATGTTGATTGGTCTATGAAAATACATTGCAGACTTTGCAGTATGTGGTTACTGAATACTGGGTAGTGGGTACTGGGTACTATTATAAAAGATAAAACGATCGTTACCTATATTTAGTATTTTCATTATATCAATACAATTTATTTTAACAGAATTATTTATAGATTTTTTTTTTTTTGTGAATAATAATAAAAATAACAGGTTTTGTACAGAACTACAAATGGCTACAAATTGTAGATAAAATAATCTAAGAAGTTAGTAAAGAGGCCAAAGGCTAGATCCAAATTTCTATGGCATTCTGGACATCGAAATGGCTATATATTGCCATGAAATGGCCAATATGGCAACACTGAACCCCAATATCCCCTTCCAAAAGTCCATACGAACACTGCGACAACGCCCGATTCCGAAGTCGTGAGTTGGAAACAACCGATACCCCTTCTTTCAAAGTTCACGTGCGCAGTGCGCATACACCAGCCACCTGTGGGCTGTGACCTGTCGGCAGTCGCCCGACGGCACAAGTACGCTACGCTTGTGGTTTGCAACTGTATTTCATATAAATTAATAATTATCTCGGAATGCTGACATAATTATTTTTTATCGAAATTAATTTGTTAAGTATAATATAATAATCATGTTCACGCGTGAACAATTATGTGCTGCGCTCTAGCAGTAATCCCGGCACCTATGCTCCTCAACCACTGGATTGTATCTGTAATCAATTTTGTTTTTTCTGTTTGTAATGTTGTTATAGTAAGTAAGTTAATGTTAGTAGGTACTAGTTTTTTTCTATATACCTTGTAAGAAATTATTAAGTCTGATGTAGTTAAGTTTATTTTGTTTCTTATTGAGTTATAAATTGTTGTGTCAACAGCACAACACGCACAACAGTGTTGCGTTTTGTTACTGTTTAACTTGTATGATAATCGCTATTAGAAGTGTATATTTCATATTGTTAATTAGTTTTGTTTTAGTTAATTCTATCAACAGAGATAGTTGTATTAGTGAATTATATAATTTAAAATGTTACACAAAAGTCAAAATGTGATGTAACTAGCATATTATACCTTAATACTGTAGTATATATTATTATAATTCTACTGTATTGCTGTTAGCAGTAAGTTTTATAGGCAAGTGTCAATAATAATAGTGTGTAACTGGCCAGTTCCTGTACTACACGATACTGTAAGTTTTTGTCATATTAATATACCATTATATATTTTGTTACCACCTAGTATTATTTTGATATTTAGCCACATCAACTCTGTCATCTGTCTTACACACCCTCTTGTTCACTGCAGGCAAACCCTCCGTTTACAAGCAAGGTTGTGTGTAAGCAGAGTCCTATATAATACAGTCCATTTCTTGTAGAACTCTAGGTGTCGGGGAACCCATCATACAGTTTGAAGGTCCTCGCCCGTACAAATCATAATATTATAAACATAAAAAAAGTTCATGAAATGTACATTTTATTTTGACTAAAAACATTAATAAATCAATCAACTTATCATCTTAAATACAAAATATTGATCAAAATTAAATACATTTTAATCACGTCATACATAATTTTGACTATAAAATACTATTAGATAAATACAAAAATAATATAGAATAAAAAAAAATTATACCTAACAATAAAAAAAAAATATTTTTTAGTCATAAATAGTTATGGACAAATTATTTTTTAACTTCATATTTTAAATATAATTTAATCGGTGTCTGAATTGTCTGATAAATATCTAAAGTCTTCATCGTCGTCTGATTTTTCATCCGTGTCGTTTTCGCTATTGCCTACGGTTAGAACGCATGGTTGGTTCTCTGCAGTCATAACGTCATCGACCACGTTATCCAATTCCCAAGCTTTTTCTTCCTCCTTTTTCACGTGTCGAATAAAGTTTTTCCACATATCACCATCAATTTTGTTCACCCCTTCTTCAAGTAATTTTTTGACATCTGGTAGTTTAAATGTTTTGTTGTTGTCTCTCACATATCTTTTCACTGCAGCCCATGCAAGCTCAATAGGGTTAAGCTCACAGTGGTAAGGAGGTAATCTGAGGACAATTTTATTATTAGCTTCAACTACTATCGTATTACCTATTTTGGACATACACAACGTCATATGTAGTATTCAGTTCAAAATTCAAATAATAATTAAGAAAAATTTTATGTATACGAATTTAAAAATTGAACAAGCGGCGCTGCGTTGTGGGATTTCCTTTTAGGTGAGAATCATCGCAAACAGACGCGCTCACATACACGATTCGCGCCGAGGAACACCGATCACACAGCGTGTGTATAGTATTGCTAGGGATAGGATATCGAAAGGAAGTATCGATACTTTACTTATATCGATAATATCGGAACGTCCCTAAGTACCGCGCATTGCTCCACGCCGCCGTGGAATCCCCCATTAAAACGAAAACGAATATTATTCCAGACAATTCTATTTTTATAATTATTCCTAATTCCTATTGCTGTATTGAATTATTTTGGTATTTACTACAACTGTATGGTAGATACTAGATCTTCGTCATTTCTCATTTTAAATTTGATTTGATGGGACTGTTGTTGTAGTATTTGAATGTGTTTTATTAATTATTTCAATATTATAAAGCAAAACATTTCTATCTTAAATGGCTGGACGAAAATGTGTTATTGAACCGTCATTGGTTATCGATGCTGTAATTTTCTTTAAGGAATCAGTTATTCTCACCGACGAAAATGGTGAAAAAAGTAAGTTAAGAAAGATTATTACATTTTTAATTAGAATTATCGTAATATTATTATATCGTAACAAATATTTAAATATTTAGGTACTACAGTGGTTTTTCATTCTGGTTTCGAAAACATGAAATATTATAATATTCGCCCACTCAAACAATTGTATGGTTGTGTGAGGCATTAAGTGTTTTTAAGGATTTATATTTTTAATTTAGAAGTTGCTGTTGCTACTGACAGTATGGTCTGATATCAGCTCAAAGCTTGATAATCGAATGTCAGCTAGTGCTATCCATACATTTGTGTATAAAGGTAGACATAGGATTAAGGAACAACTAGGATTTCTACCACCGACAACATTTCCTGTTTCTGCAAATATTATTGATGAAAATCAATTGTCAAACGGATCGGGTACGTAATTTTTATTTATGGTATTTAGAATTAGAAATATTGAGGCTGACTATATATTATTATGAGATTGTACCAGTTGTATAATGTATGTGTGTATTATAATTTATACTATACAAATTATATGTTTTATAATTATTAGCATACTTAGGTATTAAGTAGGTACATTTATGAAATAATTGTTTTGTTATCATTTTTGATATTATTAATTATAAAGCCATAGAGGTGACTTATGAAATCCAAACACCGTAATCGATATAAGACGTGTAGGTACATTGACTAGGTATTGTTTTTATTTTGGTTTTTCTACGGGACGTGCGTCTAATAAGGTAGGTATATAATTATAATATAAAAACAACAACTATGAAGTACGCCATAGACGAGTGTATATGAATACAGATCATACATACGAGACACTATAGACTATAGCCTAATAGGTATGGAAAATAGTCTACAATAGCCTAATAGGTATGGACATTTTTATTTTTATAATACCATTTTATCATAATGGAAAATAATATCGTCTCAATTTTTTGTGAACCATGAACAACTGCATACGAAATACGATTCACTGCCTGTAAGCATATTAAAACGTAAGTATATTTAAAATTATTTTAGAGGTCGTTCTAAGAGCGCATTACACACTAGGCGATTCGAACGCACGTGTCGACGTTTTTTAAACTTTGCGATTAATCGCTCAAAATAATATTGCCAGGATGTATTCATATTGACAAAATACTCGAGGGTTCTGTCGCGTTCGTTCGCGTTTAATCGCGTTAGTTTAATTTTGAGCAAGTGATCGTGCGAACGCTCTAAAATTAAACCATGTATTTCCAATATTATTATTATATTATTCAACACTTGGCGTTTAAACGTCACATTTATTTTATTATAGTTTTAAGATCATGAGGTCTTTAAAAATGTCGACTCGTGCGTTCGAATCACCTATTGAGTAGTGTGTATGCACTCTAATAAAATATATTTTAGCCGTGTACCTACTAATTTATACTTCAGTATCTTATTCAATGAGAAAGTGAATCTAGTTGGTGAATTGGTGTAACTTGGAAACAACTGGCCGTAGATATATTATATTTTCACTGAATGTTTATATTAGCATTTTCTATACAATATATTCTATTTCTATATTCAAATTGTTTAGTTTTCTTTTCTATAAATGTCAATTAAATTTTATTTGTTGGGTCAAAAACCGTGAAAAATTAATACAAGCCATACAAGGCTCCTGATATATTGTTAAAATAGCAGTTGAAAAATATTAAAAATGCATTAGCACAATTTATAAGCTTTTAAAGTTCAAATTTTGATTACATTTATCAAATTGAAAATGTACAAATAATGTTGTAGTTAATTAATTATGAAATATTCAACTTTCATAGCTAATGATTAAAAATTTAAAACAGGTTCCAAGTAAGTAGGATTTTCTGTAACCAAAAAATCTAAAAATATATTGACACAGTTTTTAAGTTAATTTAATTTCATATTTAATAATCAAGAATAACGATTTTAGTTATTTATTTGTAATTTTATAATATTAATTCAACTTACCGTGTATTGTGCAACCGTCTTAATAATTAGTAATTACAATATAAATATAATATAAAATATTCTAGACTGACAAACCGTATTCCCTCAGAATCGTCTGTCGTATAGAATGATATTATATCATTGAATTCATATTGAATACCATCCATCACAGAGACTCACTTTACACTTGTAACCTACTGTATATCAGAGTGACACCCGCTTACTCGCTTTTCATGTTATACTTACATTCTAAATAAAACCAATGTTAATTGTTGAAATATACAATTAATATGTAGTATATGTAGTCAGCCTTGACACGTGTGTACAATATAGTAACTAGTTATGTACGAGCATAAGACACTCTCTTTACGGATGTAACCTGACCTCGGTCGTGCATATATATAGGGCCTTTGATGTATGTAATATTCACTTGCACAGGCGTCGTTGTACAGAGCGTATACGATGTGTGTGTACTGTCACAGTTTAATTGTCCAGTTGTACGTTATTATATATTATACTTATACATAATCATATTGTCGTGTTATTACTTATTATATTAATGCTAACATCATTAGTCCGTCAAGCTTCACTTTCAACATTAATGATAAGTTTTAAGTATTTAAAAATGGGTGTTTATAAATTGCGCCCACAGTGAGCAGGTAATAAAAATACTATAGTAAATAATTGCGCCTGGGAGTTTTGGATTTCTAAAATGGGTATAGTAAATATTGCATCCGTAGTACCTAAGCAAGGCTGGGCAAGTTAATGATTTTTTTTAACTCAGTTAAGTTAAGTTAATATGCATCAATAACAAAAAGTTAAAAGTTAATTTAACTATATGTTAACTCAGTTAAGTTAAAAGTTAATAAAAATTTTTGTTAACTTTTTATTAAGTTAAAAAAAGTTAATTTGTTTATACAAGGCTAGCATACTTAATTTTTTTCCCACCCAAAACTAAATTATAAACTATAGTGTTTATACTTTATACAGATTTTCATATAAGTTAGATTCCAATGATATGAATTTTTAACTTAAAACAATTCACGGTTAATATTTTTTGACATGAAAACAAAATAGACTGAAATAGTGAAATATAGTAAAATTAAAAACAAAATAAATTAACATAACTTGCTTCTTAAAATGAAAAATTAACTCGTTCATTTCACGTTAGTTAAAAAAGTAATTTAGTAAGCTAACAGTTAAGTTAATGAAAAGCCAAAAGTAACTAGTTAAGTTAAAAAGTTAAAATTAAATTAACTTTTTAACTTAACTTTAACTTTTTAACTCGTTAATGCCCTGCCTTGTACCTAAGTGACACTGAATTTATGGATGCCTTTTTTAAACACTGTTCTACATTTATTGGTATAAATAGTTAATTTTTTATTAACAAACAAAAATAAATATACCTATATAGGTTACATAATATATATATTTTAAAATTAAATTTTTTCATTTTTAATTTATTTATTTATTAAACCAAAAAAAATAATTTTTGCAGGACAGTGATATTCGACTCTTCTTGGTGTCCTCTAGGTAATGCTAAATTAAAATCATACAAATATTTCTTACAATATTAATAGTCCCTGCTGAGCAAAATTAACTACATAGTGATCTAAAAAAAATAAAAAATAAACTTAGTTATATAAAAAAACTAACGACCAACCTTCAGCCATATTTTGAAAATAATTTGGAAAAATTTAAAAACTATTTTCAGAATTTGAAAAATATTATTTTCACGGCAAGCTTTTTGCAGTATGGGAGGGGGAAATTCATGAAGCCTACCTCGCCTATATTGTCAGATCAACTTTAAACCTTCAACAATATTTGAATAAAAAAATCTGTATTTAATAAAAATATTTATTTTCATTTAGATTTGTTATTTTAAATTAGTTTATTGAACCATTGTAAATTGTTACAGGCTTAAGAGTATTTTCAACACAATATTTTAGTATAAATTGAGAATCATAGGCTTTCAAATTATGTGCTATACATGTAAAATTTCTATGTACCTATATTTGATATTAACCATTTACATAGTTGATAATTTGTGTCAATTTTTTTGTATATTTTACCTATAAAATCGGTTAATTAAGTTTGGAATATGTGTAGCAGTGTCTTGTTGAGCCTCATAATACAAAAATAAATATTTTTCTGTATCGGTACATTTTGGTAGTTTTTGTTCTTCACTCTCACCAAAAATCTCATTTGCAAAAGAAAATGGGTAAAGTAAATCTAATAATCCTTTTTTATTCAATTTACTATATTGTTTCACTTTATTTTCTTTTGCTTTAGTTCTTAGTTCTTTAAGATTACAATCTTCAATATGTTTAATATATTTATCAACGTTACCTTAACATAAGCAAATTTCTCTTTTACATTTAAATCCTTTCTGACTAAGCCATTGGATGTAACATTTATGTTTTGCTATTTCAAATTCTTTCCAACAATTTCTACATTTCTCTATTCCGCATTTACGTTCATCACTTCTCATGCAGATTTTATTACAAACCAGACATTTAAAAGCTACTTCACTAACTTCCTGATGACTTTCAAGACATTATTGATTAAAGCAATACCTATTACATTTTTCGCAGTACACTCTTTCCTTCTTACTTAAATGTTTAAGTTTTTTACATAATAAACATATTTTTTTTTTATCTTTACATTTATGTTTATCTTTGTTACTATATGGTGTATCGCATTTATTACAATAATAAGAAGTGCCATAAAATCCTTTAATTTTAATAATAACATCAAAGTGATTACCTCTTTTAAATAAATAGATTTCTATATCTTTATCTATTCCTTTATAGATTATCTTATTTTGACTTTGAGCACAGGTATAATATTTATTTGAGTACCTATTTAAAATACATTCGACATTATAAATATCATCTAACGTAAAGCATTGTGAGTTAGATATATGTTGTTAATAAACTACATAATTTTAAGGCAAGTTTTTTTTGAATAGTCTACCCTCCTTAAGATATTGTATTTGATTTTTACTTAATTCTTCACCTAAGATATTTTTTGTTTTATTAGCAGAATATTATATAGAAGTAGCTAAAGCAACAACAATAGCTCTTGGATGACATAAATTATCATCATTATTATTAATTCTAATAATACTAGACTTTTTTGTTATGTCATCAACTAAGTTTAATATTTTTTTCCCTTTGACCCCTCTAGGAATTTTTACTACTTGAACTACAAATTTGGTTTTAGAAATATCAATTTCTTGATCCGATGTTAATATTTCAGATACTTTTTCCTGAAGACTTACTAAGAATTGTTCAGATTTTAAGCCCGTAGATATACAATTAAATAACTCATCATTAAATAGTATGATATTTATTTTATTGCCTTTCTCATAATTTGATTGACTTTTTGCTATATTTAACATTTCTTTTAATGCTTTATCAATATAGTTAATTTTATTATTTTTATCTGCTGATATAAGATCTTCTGT